GCTGCATTTTCAAGCTAACGCTATACATTTCCATAGGCTACTGCTATTTCCTGTCATTAGATAGATCATTTGCCTGACAGTACCAAAAGTAGGGAAAAAAAATCTTTCAGGCAGATTGTTTTTATCACTTTGGAATATTGCCATGAAACAAAAGAAACCTTGACTACACTGAAGGCTTAACATAGAAAAACCAAAAAATATAAACTTCAAAGTAATCTATAAAACATAGGTGGTAAGAACAATCTCCATGATTAACTGTGAATGTCTGGCAGGTTGGCATTGAAAACAAGAACCTCTGAAGTAACTTCTCAGTCCAGAAATCCATGCCCTTGCAGCACACTTCTACAGGCTTTGGATATGAGCAGATGGTCAATAAGATTTCTGTGCCTATGGCTAGCACACATTTAAAAATTCCTAGATTCCTGCCTTCAATCAGTCTATTAAGCACATTTGAGATCGAGTGGCCTCCATAGCCATTACCGGAACCGCACAAATCCTTGGACTCAATAATAAAACATCTTTCAGGATTACATGTCAAACAATAGTCAATAATGGTCTCAATTTTAACTAATATTGAGACAGAAAGAGACCCAAAAAAGTTAATTGTTGCCATCAGCAATAATAGCATGATCTTGGCAAGAAAAGAGATGAATACAACTACAATTTTCCTCAATCAAATGTTTGTTAATATTTTGTTGATCTTACCAAATTGTGTATAACTAAATCAATATTTTAAGAACAAAAAAAAATAAATCAAATTAAGGAGGATCTTTATATTCAATTAAATGAGTTGGTTTAAGAACAAAGAAATACCTCTTGTCAATGACAGCCATTCCTAAAGACCTTCTCCCAACCAGGAAAAAAAAAAAAACCTAAGCATGAACTGGAATTCTAGATTTAGTAACACTGATTGCATGAGAGATGAATAAAGTACGCTTTTACACAAGAGCCAAACTGAATAGAATTTATTATTGAAACCAGTTGCTAAAGATTTAAAAAAGTGATTGCTTACATAACTCCTCTATCTTAGATATTTCTGGATTACGCTGGAATCTAATACATCTACAAATAAGAAATATAGTAACTAAATTATGGAACATCACTCAGTTTTATGGTGGGATTTACAATGTGTGGAAAGAACTAACTGATTTGTTGGAGGGTTAGGAGGTGGATACAGAAAGGTATGCACAGTTAAACCAAAGATCTTAAGAAAAAAAAATTGCTTCAATTAGTTCTCTTTTGCTAAGATGAAATGAAAATAAAAAGCAGATGTAAAAACTGCAACCACATGATATTATTCACATTACAGAAATAGCAGGAATATGCCATTTTTTCTTTCAAATGTGACCACATGCTTTGTTTTACACAAAGGAAATCAGATATGTAAAAGCCAAATGCTGCTTTTAAAACATTGCCATAAAGTTAAGTGCCGGGCCAGGGCACCTATTTGAGAACATCGTAACCAGCAAGCTCATAAGGAAAAGGAGATTTCTTATCTGCCCTTTTCGCTATGACCAACACTTCCTTAATCTCTGAGCCACATTTCCAGAGTCCCTCAAACTATTCTGACTCAGCTACATTTATAATGTTAAGTTTATGTGCCTACCAATTTAGCACCTTATAATTACCATAGACAGGTAAGTCTGAAAGTCTGTGTATTTCAACTTGTTCAGGAAACTGTTTTCTTGACAGAAAGAAAAGAGGAGAGGAGAGGAGAGGAGAGGAGAGGAGAAGAGAAGGGAAGAGAAAAGAAGAGAAGAGAAGAGAAGAGAAATCTTCAAAGAAATTTTTTAAATATGCCTTCATCAAATAACCTTTTCTTTTTTTGTGCTCCCATAGAATACACTTTCTATAGTTTTCATAAGATCAGTGCCCATCCTGTGGTTCTTCTCGTTGCATTGTACAGTCACTCCACAACTTGTTCCATCTTTCCATCATATCCTACAGTATCCTACAAGCTCCTTGAGGCCAGAAACAAAGCCTCATACCAGTCTGCACACTCGACATTAGTCACCACAGCATCTCCTACGATACAAGTAGTGCTTCAAAAATGTACCAATGGCCTGTGCAGGGGCTGAACAGTAACATGAACGCATGAAGTGAGCCTCAGCGCCTGCCATACAACATGGAGCAGTGGATACCGCAGCAAATGAGAGACTCTGTGCCCCACAGAAAGAGCAACTACTGCTCAGCTCAATCCAGTAGTTACCAAGGAAGGATTCAGGTCTAGTGTTGCCATATTTTCTAATTTTTCAAGAGGGAACCTAGAAATCTGGATTTTTATATGAGTTCACCTAACTTTTAAATGTTGGCCTAAAAAAATTTTAAACCCTTTGCAGGCTAAAGGAAATCCATCTGGGAGCTTAATTTGCCCACAGGTCACCAGTTTGCAGCCTCGTGATGTACAGTGGCAGTCTTGCCCTGTGTCTCTGACCCCTCCGCCTGCCCCCCTCCTTCACTAGTTCCTTTTCCTCCTCCTGTCCCTCACTTACAGAAATGGACTTTCTGGATATTCCCTGGATGCTCTCTCTCTTTCTGCTCTGAACCCCCACAGCACCTTACTCATAGCCGTCTGCAGCACTTACCCATGTTATCTCATACCACAGTTATCTAGTATATGCAATACCTTCCATAAGGAAATAAGTCCCTTAAATCAATTATTATTATTATTATTACATCATCATTGGTCGAGTTCTGTGTCAGACACTGTGCTAAACCCTTTATGTGTATTATTAATACTCAGCTACTCTTTATAAGAATACTAAAGAATATTATTACTGTTTTATAAATGAGGAAACTGAGGTTTACAGAGCTTCTAATTCATGTCCAAGTCCACAGAACTAGAAAATGTTAGAGCCAAAACTTGAAGTGAGGCTTTTTCACTCCAAATTATTATATTTGCCTGACTCATCTTTAAGTTCCCTACAGTTTATTACATCCAGTGAGTACTCAACTAGTATTTGTTGAATTGATTGTTTAAAATCAGAAATTTATATTCTACTTAAAAGACATGCTTTCTTAAGAAGCATGGAGAAGAATTACTTAAGAAGGTTTGCAGACGAGTTAAAAATAAAAATAAAGCAAATATGCATTATGAATATTTGTGGTTCAGCATGAGATTGGAGTCCATTCATCAACTAAATAGATCCACAGGGTTTATCCAAGATACAGTGTATTTATTCAAAAAGTATTCCAATCCAAAAATAATATGCATAAAATAAATTGCCATGTTATCATTTCTGCTTTGAAAATTCAATGTGCACTGCTGGTTTCAGTTAGAAATGAGGAAATTCCAAGAGGAAATTGAACAAAAGCTCAAAAGATATTCTTTTCTGCATGCAAGAAGAAGCATCAATTATTTCTTTTCAACAACTATGATGTTACATTTCTGTTTCTGCATCCAATGGGAGTCCCAAAATGCAGTTTTCTCTTTTCTTTCTAAATATATGTTGTTTCACATAAAAATACATAATCTAAGTATGTAACAAAAACGTAATGTACTGATTTTCCCTTTCATTATTTTTAAATAGCTGATCTGAACCATAAATATGAACTCTGAAAATGCTAGTTAGATGATGATGATGATAGAATCTGACCATATTCATGTTTTATTTGAAGTCCTAATGGCTAAACAAATCTCTAAATTCTCAGTTTCTTTCAAGAATATTTGACAGCCATGAAAAAGACATTTTCTGTCTTTAAGACCATTGTTCAGCTTTGAGATTTCAGCTACCCTTGAAATCTAACAACAACAAAAAAATCAGCTAAAACAAGAAAAGAACAAACAATATCTCCAAATAATTTTATTACCCCATCTAGGATTCCTCCTTTTAAGAAATGGAACCCAGTAACGTAAATAAACTAGCCTAACTTGTGTCAAAGTCCTGGGGTACATTTGGGTGGGGAAAAAGATGCCAGTTCTTTCTGTTTCTCAAGAACTCTGATCCCAACGCAGAATTTAAATTAATAGTGGGAACATCACCACCACTATTGCTGTCTAAAGGGATCGGAAGCAGGTATACCTGTCTCTTAGAAACATAACTGAAGGAAGCTGAGAGCTCAGGCTCCATAAAGGCTTTGACAGACAGTCACCACATTTTCTTTGGAACATCTTGATACTATTCCTTTACCTTGAGATAGTTTCAAATGGCCTAAAGCAACATCCCTAACCTTCAACTGATAGCTTGGAGAAAGAACTCACTATAAAGCAGAAGAATTACCTATAGGCTACTGATATTTAAATCTTTTGATGAACTAAGAAAATCACAGCTATATACAGTTATACAGAAAATGAATCGGCAAAACTTTTACAAAGCTAGTAGAGGGATAGCAGAATTACAAAAGACCAGACATTTTCTCTTCAGTCTACCACTCAACTCCAAAATAGATCCCATAAAGTACTGAAATATAGGAGAGGGGGGAGAAGTCTTCTTTTCCAAAGCTGGTACTATTCTGTTACTCTATACCCTCTACCAGTTTTGTAAAAGAATATTTGAGGGAACTATTGAGAGAAGATACACATTCCTTTCAAAACTCTCACAGGAAAGGAGTCATCAACATCATGAGCTTCACTGCTTGATGTTAAATTAAAGGAACCAGAAGAATAAGGCAGAGTAAGACAAGTGCCAACCATTGGTAATACCTAGTACCAGAGGAACAAAGAAAAATAAGGCTCTCAAAGGACTCATGAATGCTATATCAATTTTCTTCCCTCTCTTGTCTCCTGATCATGATCAAGAATCAGCTTAAATTATGGAGATATAATAATATTAAAATAAATATTTCCTCAGTGACCCCATCCCAGAAAATTACCAAGTGAAAGAAAAATGAGTAGAAAGTGGAACTAACCAAAGGAAAATATACACTGTTATAGCAACTATAATCACTGCAGTTGTAGTTATGTAAAAAGCAATTGGTTAACACGCAGATTGTAAAATTGTGTGAACTAGCTTTAGCGCACATAAATCTGAATAGTCTGTGTGCTCTTGAATTAAATATACCTGCTCATTCTGATTTGCAAGGCTTGGAGAAAAGCTGGAAATTGTTGGGGACACTGCAGACAGTTCTTGGAGTTTTAAATTGATTTCAGTGAGCTGCTGATGCTGGGTGACTGCAAGTGTATATCCTTCTCCTGGAACCAGCCATCCAGACTGATCACCCTAAGAGGAAACAAAGGTTACCAGGTCAGCTCCATGCTATATTTTTGCCAAAATGTAACTTCCAGACAGCTACGTTAGTACTCAAGACTTCACAAAAACAAACAAACAAATAAATAAATAAATAACCGAGTTAACACTGGGGTAGTGAAAGCAAAAAATGAAATAGTTTACGTTTTTTATCTGCCAACCCTGTGGGTAAGGTATCTTCTTAGATTTTGTGGTTTTTTTCACCTGTGGAATAAATCTCTTAGTCTGGTCTCATAGTCTGGTTCTCCTAACATTCTCATTTCTCTACTTTCAAAAAAATGTTTTATGATATAGGTTTACCCTATAATGGGACATGATATTTTCAAAATTTGTCCCTTAAAGGTAATGTAGGGTCTATAAAGTCAGTTGCTTGGGTTTCATGAACTTAATTATCATCTAACTCTCATTCAACTAACATTAGTCTTGTATTATCTTTATAACATTCATTCATAAATTTCATACTGAATGCCTACTGTGCACAGGTATTATGCTGGGCACTGGTGAATCAATATGAATTTTACGAGGTTCTGCCCTCCAGGACTTCTGAATCTCTTGGCAGCAACAACTTTAACAAGGTATAAAGATTGCTGGTAAGCCCTGAGCACTGCGGGAACCAGTGAGAGTCAGCTAACCTCCGTGGGCAGGAAGGAGCAAGGAGATGAAGTGGTTGGAGAAAGCCTCCTGGAGGAAATAGGACCTTAATGAAAGAAACATGATTGATTCTGTACTTTAAAACAGGAACTACTGAGGGCAAGGCTGGAGGCAGAAAGACCAGTTAAGAAGCAATAGCCATAATCTAGAACAAAAGTGATGAGTACCTGAACTAGGTAATGTTTTCTGGGGATGCAGAACATAGAAAAGATTCTAGAGATACTTAGGAAGTAGAATTTACAGAACCTGGAGATAATTTTATGGAAGAATAAAGGGAGAATTAAAGATCAAGGATAAAAAGCAAGTTCTTGATTTTGCACAGTAGGTGGATGGCGGTCACATGGTCTAAATTAGGGAACATAGATGCAGTAGGTTTGAGGAGGAAAATGAATTGTTTGGGATCTTTTGAAATTCACAGACATCCCTAGGATATCCACAGATTATGTTAGGCAGTTAAATATTGTTATCTGAAGTTCAAGATTGAGACTTGGGATTGAATAAGTATTTTGGACTCACCACATGTCTACAGTGGTTCAAACCCTTGGGACTATGGGAACGGACAAGGTCACACAGGGAAGCAGGTAGTACAAGAGGACAGAAGAATCATGAAGAACATTTAGAATAAAGGGCCAGGTGGAGGGCAAAGAAGCTTAAGAAGTTCATACCCTTTCCTTGCATGATGCTAATACCAAGAATCAATCCCTAAGTGGTAACCAGAACTATAGTAAAAAATTATGCAGAAAGGCTTTTATATTTGTCTCCTCCTGAACAGTGTTGGTAGGGAACAGATCGCCACCACAGACTCCTTCTCCCTATCCACTGGTATCAAGACAAGCAAATCACCTAGGTTCACCAATCAGAAGAGAACACCCTAAATTTTGAATCTCGAGGGACAGATGCAAAGATGCAGTGAAATGACTAATGGTGACAGCAGCAGCAGTGAGAATCCAGCATTGGCAGCAGTGATGGCAGCAAAAGTGACCATCTATCAGGGGCAAGTGTCTGGTGGCTGCAGTGCCAGGACTGCCCCTAACCAGCCTGTTCCCAAGGAGCTCCTGTAGCCATGTTTCTGGCTAACTTGACATCTGCCTGGTTTACCAACCTGGCTCTCCAAACTTCCCACTGAGGCTGTGAGCTACCTAACTCTCCCAATAAATTCATTTCCTGTTATTTTAGCCAAAGTCCATCTCTGTTACTTGCAACATAGAACACTGACTAATAATGTTTATTGTCATTTATTTATAATAAAGAATAAATACAAAAAGCCCAAATGTCTAAAAATAGAGGAAAAGTGAGTAGATTATAGTATATCCATACAAGGATATGATATAGTAATAACCATTTTTAAATATATGTATAAGTTCACATAATTATTTTAAAAATATATTATTTAATTACTCATGAATAAACTCTGGTAATTTTTCCTAAACAAAAGTGGCATAGGCCAGGCGCGGTGGCTCACGCCTGTAATCCTAGCACTCTGGGAGGCCGAGGCAGGCGGATTATTTGAGCTAAGGAGTTCGAAACCAGCCTGAGCAAGAGTGAGACCCCGTCTCTACTAAAAATAGAAAGAAATTAATTGGACAACTAAAAATATACAGAAAAAATTAGCCGGACATAGTGGTGCATGCCTGTAGTCCCAGCTACTCGGGAGGCTGAGGCAGTAGGATCACTTGAGCCCAGGAGTTTGAGGTTGCTGTGAGCTAGGATGATGCCACGGCACTCTAGCCCAGGCAAAAGAGTGAGACTCTGTCTCAAAAAAAAAAAAAAAAAAAAAAAGTGGCATAAATACTCTATGACCTAAATGAGAAATAATAAAGAATTACAAAAAAAGTAAAAAATCAATGAACAGTGATTAACAAATTTAAAATCCTTGTCTAAATGGGATTTTTTAATCACACTGGAATTAAAAGAGCATGTCTGGCTAAATTCAACAAGCATTTAAATTTTTCATGTACTATGCAATTACAGAAAGAAATTATATGTAATAGGTAGTAGATGGTATCATTTTTTTTTCTGTCTAGCACCTTCTAGACACCCTCACTATGTATGGAGAATTTCTGGCTTTTAGGAATCTTACCTTCCCAAGACAGAAACCAGAAAATGCTCTTAACCAGCCTCCTTTACAGCTAGAGTTCAGGCTGGTAACCAAGGGCTCACCAACCAGACTCACTCATTCAACACCATTAGAGTGAGTAACCTGAGTTCTAATGCAAAACCCAGGCAAGGGCGGCAGTAGAGACATCTGGCTTAGTCGGTGCCATTAGCTGCAAGTATGAGTTCCCAATACAGAAAGAAATATGTTTAAAATTCTAAATAAATATCCTAGAAATATTCAAGAGAACATTATGTTCATAAAATTAAACATGCCACTATAAAGAACAACCAGAGTTCTGGGGAATTAAAACATAGCTATCATTTTAGTTATCTTCTTTAAGTTGCGTAGTCACTTGTCAAAGATGAGGCTGGAGGGCACTCCATAAAGGAAAGGGCACATCTGAAAACACAGAGGTTTGCAAGAACACAGAGAATTTGAAGAATGGCAAGAAATTTGGTATGGCTTGAAAATACAATAAATAGGCCCTTTCCTCCAAGTTGTCTAAATTCTTTCTGCTGCACTTATCTTCCTCCTCTGAATTTCTATTTTAACATGTGTCACCATCTATGTGACTTTATAGAATTTCTGTATATTATGTTTTTCACCCACACCAGATAATAACGGGACTTGCAAAAAGAATTCTCAGCAAATATTAGTGTAAAAAAATAATAATTGTAAAAAAGAAATCTCAGATGAGGGCTGCATGCCTAAACGGCAGAATAGCCATGGTTGAAACTCAACTTGCAAAACTGTGAAATTAGCTCATAGAAGCAAAATGATAAAAAAAAGACGAACATTATGAGAAAAATATTGTAAGACCTGGAAGAGAGATCCAAGAGCTATATCACGTCCATCTGTGGCAGGCACTATCAATTTATTGACCTGATCCCTTCTTCTAATATCCCTCTTCCTTGCCTACCTCTGCTACAAAAAAAGAGGCAGCAATATACCTGAATCTCCTTTCTCCTTTGTAGCAACATACAGAACAAATTGCTGTGTGACACAGCTTGGTCAGTGAGATGCAGATTTAAGACACCATATCATCCCAAACGAAAAGCCAAAGCCTCAGAGGAGGGTCTCTTTGCCCTTTACAGGGACAAATTTGCAAACCTAAAGACAAAAGGCACACTAAGAATGTAAAACAGGAAGATAAAAAGACACTAGCTATTTATTCCTAGATTTCTTTTTATTGCAGAAAAATAAACTCCTTACTTCTTTAAGCCACTGTTTATGAAGTTTTCTGTTACTTCCAGCCAATCACACTCCCAACTGATATCACATTTTATAGGTATAGCAAAAGGAAAAGAGATGATGGAAGGGAAGAAATAATAGAAGATAACTTCCTGAACTGAGGAAGGATTTGAACTTTCAGATAGAAAGGGCCTACAAGGTACCTGGCAGGAGTAAAAATGTTTTTAAAGACACATATAGATATCATCAGATAAAATTTGTGAACCCTAGAATAAAGAGAAAATCCCACATCCTTCCAGAAAGAAAAGATTTTACATCTAGAATTTAGTCACCTCCTAAGCTAACATTCAAATGAGGAAAAAATAAATAAATGTTTGAATATGCAAGCAGTCAAAAATTAACTGCATGCCCCTGTTTCTTGGGGGAAAATTTTTCAAAAAAATTCCAAAAAATAATTCAAGGAAAATGATTTATATAAGTAAATAATAAGTTGAGTCCAAACACAGTTAAAGATGTAGCTAAAAATTTTGGCTAAATTTGGTTGAGAAAGATTCCTAAAATACAGGAAGCATACTGTTTTTAAAGATAAAGGAAAAAACTTAAAATATTCTAGAACTAAAATTCCAAATTATTTCAATACATCTTAGAGAACAGGAAATGGGATAAAAGGGAAATAAAAGCATACCAAAGATCCAATCTTGTTAAGATATGAGATTATAGAAACTATTACAGTTGAAAAGAAAATATGCATTTTAATATATTTTTAAAATTGAGGATTAACAGTATCAGATCAGAAACAGGATTCTGAATTTCCAAACCACAAGAGGAAAAGGATATAAAGTAAAAAAAAAACAAATATGATATATAAAATATAAAATCTGACATCAGGAAAAGACTGAAAAAGTATCAGTGGTCATGATAAATGTGAATAAATTAAATATGCCCATTATCATATAGTAAGGAAATAACAAAAGATAAAGAATTAAAAACACAACAGCAAAAACAAAAATCCAGCTACACAATATTTATAAAAGCTCTACCTAAAACTAAAATGATAGAGCAAAGTCTAAAATAAAGAGAAGGTCAAGACAAAATAATACAAAAATTCATTGTTAAAGCACTCCTAGAATGTATAAGGAAGATCTATCATGCCATACTTTGATACCCAGAGAGACAGTGGGAAGCAGTTTGCCCAACTTTACAATTAATAACAAAACCAGAATGAAACAGATCCCTTAATTCTTACTGTTATCTGAGCTTTTGTTAGTACAATAAACAATTACAGTCATGTGTCACTTAATGATGAGGATACATTCTAAGAAATGTATTGTTGGGTGATTTTGTCATTGTGTGAACATCACAGAGTGTATTTACACAAACCTAGATGGTATAGCTTATGACACACCTAGGCTATATGGTCTAGCCTATTGCTCCTAGTCTACAAATCTATACAGCATGTTAACTGTACTGAATACTGTAGGCAATTTTAACACAATGATAAGTATTTTTGTATCTAAACATACCTAAACATAAAAAAGATACAGTAAAAATAAGGTATAAGAAATTTTTTAAATGGTACGCCTATATGGGGTACTGATGTAGTTTGAATGTTTGTCCCCTCCAAATCTCATGTTGAAATCCAATCCCCGATGTTGGAGGTATGGCCTGGTGGGAGGTATTTAGGTTATGGGGGCAGATCCCTCATGAATGGCTTGGTGCCATCCTCACAGTAACGAGAGTTCTTGCTCTATTAGTTCAGTCAAGAGCTGGTTGTTTAAAAGAGCCTGGCATCTACTCCACTTTCTCTTGCTCCTTCTCTCATCATGTGACATGCCTACTTCCCCTTCACCTTCCATCTTTGATGGAAGTTCCGTGAAGACCTCACCTGACACAGCTGCTGACACCACACTTCTTGTACAGTCTGCAGAACCGTGAGCCAAATAAACTTCTTTCCTTTATAAACTACCCAGTCTGTGGTATTCCTTTATAGCAACACAAAACAGACTAAGACAGGCACTTACCATTGGATGGAGCGTGCAGGACTGGAAGTTGCTCTGGGTGAGTCAGTGAGTGGTGAGTGAATGTGAAGGCCTGGGACATTACTGTACACTGCTGTAGACTTTCCAAACACTGTATACTTAGGATACACTAAATTTATAAAAATATTTTTTTCTTTCTTCAATAATAAATTAACCTTAGTTTACTATAACATTTTTACTTTATAAACTTTTTAGTTTTTTTAACTTTTGACTCTTTCGTAATAATACTTAGCTTAAAAAATACATTTACAGCTATGCAAAAGTTTTCTTTCTTTATATTCTTATTCTATAAGCTTTTTCCTATTTTTAAAATTTCTTAATTTTTTTTACTTTTTAAACTTTTTTGTTGAAAACTAAGACACAAACACACCCATTAGCCTAGGTCTACACAGGGTCAGGATCATCAGTTTCACTGTCTTCCACCCCCACATCTTGTCCCACTGGAAGGTCTTCAGGGGCAATAACATGCATAGAGCTGTCATCTCCTATGACAACAATGCCTTCTTCTGGAAAACCCCCTGAGGACCTGACTGAGGCTGTTTCATAGTTAACATTTTTTTCCAATAAGCAGAAGGACTACACTCTAAAATACAACAGCTACGATGTCACTGGGCAATAGGAATTTTTCAGCTCCATTATAATCTTATGGCACCACTGTCACATATGCAGTCCATTGTTGACCAAAACATCATTACGTGGCACATGACTCAGCATCATTATGTGGCACATGAATCAGCAAATCCAAAATATCTCAGAATGATGTGGGCATTTAGCAGTTGGCCTTACCCAACCCTTCTTCACCAGCCTCAGACATGGCAGCACCTTCATCCATTCCTGGACACAGTCCCCACTGGGCCCTGATCATCTCAAAAAAGGTTATTTAGAGGTTGTAATCTATGATATTCTGTAGACTTGCTTTTGGTATGGGGTGAAAGGGAGAGACATTTTATTTGCCCACATAGAACTTTTTAAAATGGGATTAGTTGTGAATAATTTAAAAGTTTAATGTTTCCCATAAAAATATGAATTTCTAGCTTCTCTTGAAAAAATGGAGGATTCAGGCAGCCCTGGTCTGGGATTTCCGCATGGCAGCCACCAGCTGATGCTGAGTGTTGGCTCCCATTGGGCTAGCAACCGCCCCCCATTGGCCACAGATATCACTGCACATGCACTGCTTTTGTACCTATAGCAAAAGCTATCCCCTGAACTTATGTGTCCTTAGACACGAAAACAAAGACAAGGATTCTTTGTCAAGTGACTCACTGGGGGAGTGCCTTTGGATCAGGGGTATTAGGGAAACAGGCTAAGACAAGGGCACAAAGCCAAGCAAGGATGTGGTCTCAGCTAAAGACCAGCTTCAGTCTGATCCCTGGGGAAGCTCTGGAGGACACATTGCATCACAAAGCTAATCCCATCTTAAGGTGAGAGGACTGGGGTGGCGAGGGAGTGATATCTCGGGTTGTTCGACTCCCATTTGGCTCAGGGCAATTCTCCAGGGAAGGAAACAGCTGTGCACCCTTAGCACAGGCTGGGGGATGGATGCATGAACAGGTGCCAGGGAAAGGGGAAATGGGCAGGGTGCCAGCAGCATTCACTCCATCACGTCTCTATTAAACATGGGAATAAAAGCTAGAGAACAGGGGTAAGTGCTTCAAGGAACATAGGGAGTGTATTTCTTCGTGAAAGTAAAGAATATTCCTATAAGTTCAAAAAAGTGCAAATGCTGGGCCACAGCACTCCTTACTTAGGTGACCTTCCTAGGCCCTATAAATACCTATGTTTGCACCACCCCACTCTCATTCCACCCATTTCAGCTCAGTCCATGCTCCCCTCAACTCTTCGGGGAACTGAATGCACAAGGTTAACTGGGCAGGAGCTGGATGGTGTTTTTTAGGATTACTGAAGACTACACGGAAATACCATGAAGCCAGTTTAGGGATAATAAGAAAAGGAAACAGAGAAACACATTCACAGGTCATCAGGGACAAATCACTGGCTGAGGTTATTATTGTGATGACCAATGTGTAGTCACTCTTTTAACATAAAATAATCCTTTGAAAGTCAATAATGAATTGACCAACAATAAATTTGAAAACTTAAATAAAAATGTGTAAAACAGGATTTTTTAAAGTCAGAGAATATTTTCTCATAATCTGAAAATTTATTGTAATTTTGTGCTAATGGGTCAATAACATGATTTAACAAAATCAAAACTGAGAAGTGGAGAGGTCCCTGACTGCCAGCATTTACATACCTCAGAACTGGACAGTCCCGAATCTCGATCATCCAAGTCCTTCAAAAGCTCAACCAGCCTTTTCTTCTCTCTGTCAATCATAATCACTGGGTTTCTTGAATTCTTGGCCAACTACAGAATTTATTAACGGAAAACATTAAATGCTCAAGCAATTAATAGTTCAGGAAAATTAAAATGGGACTTGAGGCTTCCACAATACAGACATATTTAGGTAAAATTTGTGAGATTGGGTGTTTTACATTTGCTAGGTACTTTTGTTTTATGCCAAATTTTTTGTATAGGGCCATTCTCCAAGCAAAGACATTCCCACTATAAGCAGGCCCTCCTGCTAACCATTCCAACAAACATTTTATTAAAAAGTATTAATAAAACAAGCAGTTTTCAAACCTCTCTTTATATTATTTTATATATATATAAAAAATACATATTATATATATATATATATATGCAAAAACACATTTGCTGAGATATTTGGAAGGAAGCTTCTTGTCACTTTCTCTGTGGCATTTATCCACTAAATGAAACTGCTTTTAAATTTCAAGACTGTCATATGAGGAAGTTAAAGAAACATTCAGTTACTATTGCTAAAAGGGGGAAAGGGAAATCTATGGTGGATCTGCTGTCTGTGTCAACAAGAACTTAGATATGGGGGACACTCCACTGCTCTTAGAAAATTAAACAAACAACATACAATGGGCCAGTGCAAAAACAGAGATAAATCACATTGGAAAAGGTTTCCTGAAGAAGGTCATACAAACATGAAGCACAGAAAAATCAAGAATCTCAGAGGCCAGTCCTGGTGGTAGCAGGCTGCCCCATGAATCCAGTCTGCCTGGAAATGATATGCCAATTGTGGGGGAAGTATCACACTTGAATTGTGAGGAATTACTTAACTCTCTACTCTTGTCAATACTTCATACTTGCCAATGTGGCTTTCTAGTGACTAGCTGCTCAAGTGGTTTGCCATGAGCCTCTGTCCACCTCACTACATTTCTTGTTATAAGTTAATAATTAGCATTCTGGTCTAATACAGGAGCCCCTGTGCCCTTGGTAGTCTGAGTCTATCTTCAAGACAAACCAAGTCAGGCTGCAGGGCCTGTAAGACCAACGACCAGTGCATGAAGGAGGAGCTAATCAAAGCCAGTGACCAGGTGCCAGGAGGCTCAGCAAGGGGCAGACAACAAGTTGGCTTCTCCAGCCCATGCCCTGCTGTTCTGCCAGGAACATTTTCCATTCAAAGTTCTATGCACTGTCTATAAAATCAGTCTCATTATTTTAAAAAACCAGTTTTACTAATATGCAATTTGAAATCTGGGAAACATTATCCAAAGCTATTATCTAAATAAATGTTTTTCAAATTGCAGGAACCAGACTATTTCTGGATAGTGAAATAAATGCTAATTGCAGCCAGCATTTTTGAAAAGGAATAGGATAGGATATAATGGAATAGAAAATATAAAATAGTGAAGTATTGGTTTATAAAACTTTTCTTTCAGTTATATATACTGATTCAATTACATATGTACTTATCATAGTCAAAAAAGTATTTAAAGACACTGAACACAATAATTACCATTTCTGCAACCCATTTAGTCTGAAATTCTGGCTTCTGAATTTCTAAGTACATACCTCAATGTTTCGCTTAATAAAATCCTGGTTGTGTTTACCCCTGAGCTCAATCTTTTCTGTATTTGAGAAAGATTTCTTTTCTGCTTTGATCAATGACTCATTTCTTTCCACATCATAGGTAAAATCTAATATTAAAAAAGTTCAAAATTATTTCATAATTACAATTATCAATTATGCTAAAAATTCACTTTAAGCATATACTATTAATAAAATATATAAGAAATAAAACATACATAGAAGACCTTCTAAATTCCAGATCCAGAAACATAATATATATATGGAGATTTATTCTTAAAAAGATAAATGTGCTACTATAACTTTCAATGACATTCTCATAAAACTTCTTGTATTATTCATTATCATATATCAAACTTCTTCCTGTTGATTCCTTGGAAATGATGGGAAATACGAATAGAACTGCAAGTCACACATGCAAAGAAGAAATCTCTGATGTTATGGGGATATAAAAATATGTATTTTATTTTAGTCTTTATATAAAACAAAAACTTCCCTAAAGTCTAGGTCATTTCCTGCTCTTCTATGAATTTGCCATCACTCTTTCTGAACAATAAGCTTTTTCTTCAAGCCTGTCTTTTAAGCAAGATCTGGAGTCAAGTGTCCTGGATGTTGTACATCCCATGTGCACAAACCCCTAGAGCCCATTCTCAGTTTGTCACTTTTGCTCAACCTTTGATAAGAGGCATGAGTAAACTTCTGAGATATTTAGACCCTAAGTGCTCAAAACAAGAGTAAGAAAAATACTCTGGACTCTTATTCCCTTCATTAAACATCTTGCCTTTACTGTGTCATACTTAAAGCTTTCAAAACAAGATCATGTGAACCCTTCGTTAAAGCCCTAAAAATAAGCATAAAGAAGAAGAGTCTCTGTAAATGACAAATGGAGTTCACCATACAAATAGCACAAATTGCCACCTTGAAGTTCAAAATGGAAAAAAACACCAGTCAGTGGCTCAAGCCAGACAAGGTTTACTTAAAAGTTACCTTTGTTTTATAAGAGAGGTTACCTCAATAAAAAAGGATTAAAGGAGCTATCAGTTGGTATATTTATAGTTAGCTATCAAAGATTCAACCATTCAACCAGCTATCAAAGACTTAACCATTAAAGAATAAATTTTGATGAAAATAGCTGGAAAGAACTAGGAAAAGAGTTAGATCACTGGATTTAAATTCTTTTCAAACAAAAGTAGATTTGAGTAAAAAAATCTTTTATTCAAATTTAAGTTATACAAGTTTCTAGGTAAATCTATGCTTTAAAACTAGGGTTTTATTTTTTAATCAATGACACAATTATTTTTTAAATCAACCACCAATAGCTAAACTATGAAGTACTTTTTTGGTGAGTGGTCACATTAGATACAAAATATATCACTTCTTCCCACAATTCAAGTTGTATATAGTCTTTTTAGTTGAAATATGACATTTATTCAGTTGAAGTTTCACACACTCAAACAATACATTAAAATAACTCAAATTAAATGCAGCCATGTTTACATTTATAATAGAATTTCTTTAAAATATACTTCTCATAAATTGTAGGGAAAAAATCTTAAATTGGCCAGAACTATCTCACTAGAAATTTCCTCTTCTCCTCTCCAGTCTGGTGGTGTTATAGCTGCCATATTCCCACAGTGACCCCAAACCGTGCTGGGTTGGACAAGTCGGAAGAGCCAGGGGTAGGCACCTGACCCAGTTGGGTCAGTTCCCTAGGTTTATAAAATTGAGCCAACCTCTCAATAACTAACTACAGCATATGCTCCTGGGAAACAAAGAAAGCTGTCTATCACCAAGATCACTTTCATAAATTTTTCTTAGCTTAAACCAGGTTCTCATTACTTGCAGCTAGCTTTTTTAAAATTCTTTATTATACAAAATTTCAAACATTCAAAAGTAGAGAGAACAGCATAACGAACTCTCAACAACTAGATTCAACAATGATCAACTCATGACCAATCTTGTGCCATCTTGAACCTTGCCTACTTCCACTCACCCCTAGGAAAAATGAAATCAACTCATTTCATTTGTGAATATTTCTGTATACGGCTAATATTCCCTTGTGGCAATGTGTATAATCACACAAATTAAAACATACCTTGATTGACATTCTGCATCTGCTTCTCATATTCTTCTGGAGGAACTTGAGTGTGAAACACTGGGAAAAAGGCATCTTCATCCTCATAACAAGAAGGATCTATTGATTCAAAAAGTCACTTGATCAATATTCACAAAATAAATAAGGAATTGTCTACACAGATGTTTAAAAAAAAGAGAAGATTTAATATTCTCTCCAATGTTCCTCAATCCCTTCCACACACACAAATTTCATCAGACAATATCATTGTCCCTTCCAAGTAGAAATGACAATCATCTTTGTATACATGAGCCTACAGATTCATGTATACAAAGTTGTATACAAACTACAGAAGTCAAAACAATCAAACAGCATTTCTCTAGAATTTAAGAACAAAAAGGATGTACAAGGGTATACTATCACATTAACTCTCCGGAGATAACGCATCCAAATCTCAATATTCATAATACAGAGGATATGCACACTGAGTATCTGTAAATGTGGTTTTCTTTTTTCTTTTAGATCCCCAAGGTACAGATTTCAAATATGTGGTCAGTCATTAAGATAAAAGAATGTGTTTGAAAGACATAATTTGGGAGGCTCTTAGCAAGTAAGCTTTCCTCTTTTGTGATTTATTTTCTTGGGATAACAGCCGTAAAGAAAATAGGACTTTCTGTTTTTCAACTCTTTTTGTTTCAATGTAATTTATTTTTGTGCTCTCCTATTAGCTAGTTCAGACACTCTTTATTTGCAAGAAACTGCTAACATAAATATCTTTTTTTAAGTTTTTCTCTGTACCTTAACATGAGAGAATCTGCCAGGTGTGTGGCACAGAAATGGTTTTGCTTCAGAAAATATGATAAATCTTGAAGCTATCACAGGTCTACCACTTCTCCGTGAAAACAAACTTGGTTCAAACACCCATTCTGAGGTGATACAGGCAAAGGAGGCAAGCAAGCAGAAGACACATTCACCCCAACACACAACCACCAAATTCAAAACATACAACTTCTGATATTAAAAATTAATTCATAAATTCCAGTTCCCTAATTTGGAATTCATAATAATGAATCATGAATTGGGATTGATATTACAATGTTAGTCTTTGTACATTCTTTGATGAGTTAACCAAGCAAATTAGTGGCAGGGGATAAGCTACTCAGATGATAAAAAGGTTTAAAGTAGTTTCTTGAACTTTAATTTTTTTGGTCCAAACACTATTATCAGGGATCTCAAATAAAATTCATTAAAACAGGCTCAGCAAGTAAGCAACTTGGCAATATTTTATTATCAGTTTAAATTATAGCATATTCTTGGAATGGTAATATATTTATTTTCAATCCCATAATTCCTTTTAAATGACAGTTTCAATCAGTTTTACAATAAAACACCTATAAGGACACAAATATGTAGAAACTTACAACACTGAAAACTATTACAGCAAGATGATATTTGAAGATTTTAAACCTAAGAACGTCTCTATGTTTAAATTACTCTCATATTCAAATTACCCTAGTGACCCTGTGGTTTTTTGTTCATCATCCCAGTGGTGTTTCTTGCCTCAGAGACAGGTGGGTACAACACAGAACAAAGGTGCTATAGCTCAGCTTTGAGTCTGAAAGACAACAGTTTTGCAAGTGAGGCATTCAATTGCAAGAGCTTGACCCCTGAGGGAAAAAATTCGTTTTCTGAATTCCAAAAGTCTCCCTTTAGAAAGTTCTTCCTTACTGTTAAAAAGCAACTAATTAATGTAGAAGAAATGATGGAATTAGAAAATAACCATTCAGTAACCATCATAATAATAATTGATTCAGATAAGAATCATCAATGAATGATCAAAAGAGTGGGTGAAGTTTGAAGAATAACAGGCTAACAGCCTCAAAGTATCTCCCCACAAGATAACTTCTTACTTCCAAAAGGAAAAACAGTAAGTTTACTATGGATATTTTTTTCCTTCTCAAAAACGTGGAGAAACCTGGCAGACACCATTTGAACCACGTGGTCAAAGTTAACTTCACCAGGGACAATCAATATTGTGCACTTCCTGACATGATGCGCTGAGAAGCGCACATTGTCACTTCTAGGGAATCAAGTAGAAACAAACCAACCCAAATTGAAGGACATTCTACAAAATAACAGGCCTATAATCTTCACAAATGCCAATGTCATAAAATACAAAGAAAGACTAAATACAATACATGACCTGGGATTTTCTTTTGCTATAAAGCTGCAGTCGCCAACCCCCAGGCTACAGACCAGTACCAGTCTGTGGCCTGTTAGGAACCAGGCCACACAGCAAGAGGTGAGCCAGCAGAAGCTTCATCTGTATTTACAGCTGCTCCCCATCTCTGTGTCACCGCATAAGCTCCACCTCCTGTCAGATCAGCTATAGCATCAGATAGGAACACAAACGCTACTGTAAACTGCACATGCGAGGGATCTAGGTTGTGCCCTCCTTATGAGAATCTAATGCCTGATGATCTGAGGTGGAGCTGAGGTGGTGATGCTCGTGCTGGGGAGCGGCTGCAAATACAGATTACCATTAGCAGAGAGGTTTTATTGAATGATAAATGTAATATGTTTGAATCATCCCAAAACCGTCCCTCCCCTCATCCCACCCCGGTCCATGGAAAAATTGTCTTCCATGAAACTGGTCCCTGGTGCCAAAAAGGCTGGGGACTGTTGCTATAAAGGATATTAGTGAGGGAATTGGCAAAATCTAAATAAAGCCTGTAGATCGGATAATAGTATATCACTTCCTGACATCAGAAAATGTTAATGTTAATTTCTTGGTTGACACATACATGTGTGTGTGTGTGTGTGTGTGTGTGTGTGTGTGTGTGTGTGTCCTTGTGGGGAGAGGGAGAAGGAGAGGAGAGGGAGATTAAGGGAGAGAGAAAAGAGGAAAATGTGGTAAAATATTAACATTTGGAGAATCTAGATAAAGGGTATTTGAGAATTCTTTGAACTGTTCTTATGACTCTAACCCTGAAATTATGTCGAAATAAACAGTTAATAGGAACATTTTTTAATTCCTTTCCTCACTACAAACATTTATGTGAGAAGGAAAAAAAAAACTTCCTTTAGAGATCAAGAGCCAAAGCTCTGAGGATTGAGCAGAGTTTTTAACAAGAGCCCTGAAAGGGGAAAATTGCAGGATGTGATTTAAGTTGTTTCCTGCCACCTAGGGAAGAAATTGAAGTCCATCCCAGATAAGGGACGAGGACCTAGAAGAGCATCAGAAGGGATGAGTTTAGAGTAGATGCAAGTGACACAGTGTGAGGCTGCTTCCTGGCACACATCCCCTGGAGGTGTAATCCTGGAGTCTGGAATCCTTAAGAGGGTGCAGAAGCTCAGAGCAGAGTGGGCTCTGTCCCACTGCACACCTGAAACTCTTGGGAAGACTCCACACACAGGCACACGGTGCTCCCCAACCACCCACGACACCTTCGGAGCTGTAATGGCAATGCAGCATGTTGATAGGGAGACAGGGCATGGGGTGTTCATAGATACACACACACACACACACACACACACACACACACACATACACTCACATAATTCCCTGTGGCTGGCCTGTGGCATGGAGGAGACCAGAAGTTCTCACATGCCCCCGTGGAGAAGCCCAGGGTTGTGATGAAGGGTGGCATAGAGTGCAAGGCTCACATCAAATATACAGAGATAGAGAATAAAACAGTGGTTATCTGGGGTGGGGTAGGAGGGAGGAAATGTGGAGATGTAGGTCAATGGATACAGATATTTACAGATATGTAAATCAACAAGTCTAAAGATCTAGTGCACAACACAAGGACTATAGTTAATAATGGTTTATTGTACTAGGATTTTTGCTAAATGAGTAGATTATGGCTGCTCTTGCCATGGGGAAATGGGGGCTGGATAACTATGTGAGATGATGGACACGTTCATTTATTCCACTATAGTAACCATTTTACTATACATATATATCTCATAACATGTTGTATACCTTTAATATACATAATAAATTTATTTTTAAAAATATCAAAACCATGACTACAATATTATGAAACTTTGTATTAATTAGCTTTCAAAATATAGGGCTTATAAAAATTCTGGAAAACAAAGGAAAGGCACCATCATGTTCCAAATAACCACTAGATAAATGACGAAATAAAAATATAATAACAACCTGTGGAGAATAATGAAAATGATGATACCACATACAAAAGAATGTCTTATAGGGATAAAGCCGTATTTGGAAACAAATTCATAGCAATGATGTCTTAATCATATTTTAATGGAAAATAAAATGATCTTAACTAATTAACCTGAAGAAGCTAGAGAAAACAATTATAAAGCAAATTCAAGATAACGGTTAAAATTAGCAAAGAAATTCAAAAGTGGTCCTTGAAAGCATAAAAAGAAAAATCTGCAAGTATAATTTTAAAAAAAGAAAACATTAAAGCTATAGTGATCAAGACAGCATGGTATTGGTAAAAAAAAAAAAAAAAAAAAAGTGTGGTATTGATAAAAGAATAAACAAATAGATCACTAGAACAGAGTAGAGAGTCCAGAAATAGACTCACAAAAATATAGATAGTGCTCAGGAACAGCAAAACAAAACCCACAATGACAAAGGATGTCAAAGGAACAGAAGAGTCAACTGAAAGAGCTCCCAATGGCCAAAGCTGGAAAAATTTGAGCAATGAAATAAAGTAGTATTAGACTATAACCCAAGTATAAAATAAATATCCACAAATATATACTGATACAAATAAATGCTTGGATAAACAAATGGGTAAAATAAATAAATCTCCTATGCAGAGTAATTCAAAATAATTAATGTAAATATTCTGCCCTCAAGTAGGTAAAGTGTAACTCCCCACTTCCTAAGTGGGGGCCGTACATAGTAATTTCCTTCCAAAAAGTATAGTATGGAAGAGAGAGGAAAATAGAATAAATAACTTTACAGTGGAAAAATATGACAAACATCTCCTCAGCCAGGTGATCAAAGTTAACATTAACAGCAATGTTATATTAATGGTATGACGTAAGGTAATGAAAATGATACTTTAAGTCTGTGGTTTTCCTCCCAAAAAACACAAAATCTCAGTCTAATCATGAGAAAAGCACAAGATAAA